CTGCCACAGCCTACATGGAGGTGTCGGAGCTAAGCTTGACATAACACAGATGACAAAGACATGTGTCAGAGGTGATTAGTGAGCCCCTAAAACAGCCGAAACAGACAAGTGTCGAAGCTGAGATGTCTGAGCCCCTGAAACAGCTTATTGGGTTGGGTGTGAGCTAACCCTGATCCTAACCCAGCCTACTCCGATATATGGGAGTCCCTTGTGACAGCCCACACTGTCATGAGTTCAAGCTCACCTTCACAAAGCCTACATTAACCCAAGGACAGCCTATAGGGCTGTGTCGAGCTAACCCCAATCCTATGTTAGCCTATAGGGCTGAGTACCAGCTACCCCCAGTCCTATGTTAGCCTATAGGGCTGAGTACCAGCTACCCCCAGTCCTATGTTAACTTGTAGGGCCGAGTACCAGCTACCCCCAATCCTATGTTAACCTGTAGGGCAGAGTACCAGCTACCCCCAATCCTATAGTCCTCAGTACCACCTACACTGTCATGAGTTCAAGCTCACCTTCACAAGGCCAACATTAACCCAAGGACAGCCTATAGGGCAGAGTACCAGCTACCCCAATCCAATGTGAGCCTATAGTCCTCAGTATCAGCTACCCCCAGTCCTATGTTAACCTGTAGGGCTAGAGTACCAGCTACCCCCAATCCTATGATAGCCTATAGGGCTAGAGTCCGAGGTGTACGACATGGCTGGCTGTTCCTACACCAGTGACGCCACACAGTGATACACAGATGAGTATAGACACAGAACAATCACCTGCTCTAACATGCACACATCTCTCCATCTTTCCTTCGTGAAGCTACTCTCTACAACACACACCTAGTCTGACCCTGTTCCACAACCAATCCTAGAGCTACGACTGTCCAGAGTTGGGAGTTATGACAGCTGTAGAGCAAAGATCACGTACAGGTAGTGGAACATGCCCCATGTGTATTACTGGCTGACAAACTCAAGAAAAACCTCGCTTAACCTTAAAGAACAGACTCAAAGTGAGCAGTCACTTAAACTGTAGGCTCTCTGTGCTGACTCCGCAGGTTTCAACAGTGAGTTATTTTCGAAATACAACAAATAAAAAAAACTGGAGTGAGTGAGTATAGTTTTATGCCGCTTTTATTAATATTCCAGCAATATCACGGCAGGGGAAACCAGAAAACAGGCTTCACACATTGTACCCATAAAAAAAGCTTCATAACATTTTGCCAACAAAGAATCAAGCACAATTTGGTTTCAGTCGATTCCACAGCTGACCGTGCATAGGATGCATATCCAATTTCTGAAAAGGTTTTTCTTGAATTTGTCTCTCAGTAATACGAACATGTCGACACAAACCAATATGGTGATCATAAGTTTTAATGAAATATGCACTATTGTTGATATCATTGGGATTAACAAATCTATGCATTTAGTCTAACATTCATAATTAGCACAGAATATATAGATAAAATGTTCACAGCGATGATTGCTATATATGCTAATTGAAGTTAATTCAGGGCTATCAATGTTCAGATCTAAAATGGAACACACAAGTCATGGAGTTTGAATATTCATAATATCAGTTAGGTTACATAAGCATGATGAATATTAGACCAAAGCTTCCTCAGAATATGAATGGTGAAAAAAACTGATTTTGAATCAAATCAAAGAAAAATGTAATGTGAAAGTCTGAAATTAGTCATAAAAACAAAAAAAGTCATTGACAATGAATTAATATTATTCATAATAAACAATGTAACATTCGGCTTTGATAGGATTCTCTGCTACTCGTTATTACATTAACAAATTCTGTGATATTGAGATTTAATCTGTTGTTTGGAAAATATCTCTAAATATTAAAGCAAACCGATGCCACCTATACATTTACTCAGAATGGTGTGTGGCTTTTGCTGCCTCTCATTATAGATTTTATGAATGCTTCAGTCATTTAGGTAAGCCTGAAAGAGTTATCCCCCTTTTCCATAGTGGGACTAATTTGACCTGTGTTCTTTTTGCAGTGGATATCGGTCCTGAGATGTCTCGGTGTCATCTAATTTTATATGGTCTCCACACACTACAGTTCACTTTTATCACTCTAACGACCAAAAACATTTACAGGCAATAGCTGTTGTGGTACCAATTCTTGTCTTGAGACCCAAAAATCTTGATGTTCGGAAATGAAACTCCATAAATACTGTTGACTTACATACTGTCTATAACTGTTCCCTTTACACGCAGTGATTTTTATCTGCTTTTGCCGCCTTTTTCATACTGACGTATTGAACCGAGAAAAAATACTGATAGATTTCAAACACAATACCACCCTAAACTAAAAACAATTCCCTACTTGAATGAATGATACAAATTCATGAGTGACACCGACTTCGGACAATACCAAGTTTATCAACTTGTAAGCATGATACAACACAAGCTATTTCATAAACAGGTAAACAGATTTTGGTCCCTTTTCTATTGAGTCAATATCAATATTTTCGTGACATATCTGCTGCAGTTGGCATTAAGTAGGCAGGAGCTTATAGAATGGTGCTACAAGAATTTACGTATTCAGCAACTACACGTTCAACTCAACTTGTATGGTGTGAATAATCTCATCAATGTGTCGACATGAAGTAGTATGTGTTGTGATGAGGTTGAGGTTCATTATGTGTCATGTTCAGTATCAAAATATGAAATACTAACTTGTTCAAAAACCTGAAACAAAAACACAAATAATTTGCCATTTTGAAATATTGATTCTTGAGAAGCAATGTTGTCTTTCATGATGGAGAACCTGTTGAAGCTGAAGAACTGATGATTTAGTGTAAGGAAGGCGATCAGAGGAGGGTCACCAAAATACAGGACAGTCTCATGGGAATCATGAAAAGTACACATTTTTGGGGAGAGCCCATTCTCTTTCTACAGAGGTTACTCCTGTCATATCTTCCTACATAACCTCTGTTCTAATACGGCCCTTTCATGGTGTGAGCGTTCAAGACTCGTGATTGGAGGCAATCAGATTTAGTTGTGCAATCAGCGACGTTGTTTCAAAAGTGATCATTCGCAAGGCCTCGGTAATTTCCGTATGCTTCGAGAAAACTAAACTTCTTCCCCTGCGCGATGCGCAAACGTTTCTTCTAGACAGAACTCAGTCATGTTATGGCGGATCAGTGGCGTCTCCATCGCCCTCGTTGACAACGGACAAGCTAGCCATTAAACGTCTTGTGTGTAACATCAACACAAGTCCCTGGCAGATCGGGGATATTTGTGGCCCCACATTTGCTTGTGTTAGTCAAGTTGAATCTAAGTCGATGTAACACGTGTTCTGATTGGATAGAAAGAAGGGGAGATTATTCGTGTTGCGATCTTTTGCCGCTAGGGGATTTTACGAGAACCGGGAAATATGGCCGTATTAGAACAGAGGTTCGTAGGAAGATATGACAAGTAACCTCTGTGGGAAGAGAATGGGGAGAGCCATGAAAACAATTTAAATACACATAAATAGGTTTTGCATTTTGTCTTTTCAGGGAGGGTCCTGAAAAGATATCTGGCATGAGGAGATGATCGTCGGTTCCTGTGCATTAGGAAATTCAGATATATTTTGGGAGGGGTATGAAAACAATTAAAAAATAATTGTACACATGAAAAGGTTTTGCATTTTGTCTCCTCAGGGAGGGTCCTGAAAAGAACTTTGACGAGCATCAGGAAACGGTCAACATTTCCTGTGCAATAGTGTATTAGAAACCTCTGAAATTCCTTACAATTAATGACCAGTTCCTTATATCTCTAAAATGCTGAATGTTAAAGGTACCCTCCAACCAGATTAAATGCCCTGGTCGGTCACCATAGTGACATCAGGCCTGCTGCCTTCATGCAAACTGCGCGACACCACAATGCTGTTAACGTTGCTAGGACTTATCACCATCAACAGAGACAGGACAATCAACGGTGAACTCAGAAACAATGACACCCATTCACTCACAGATCAGCAGTCACAGAAACGAGTACATCCTACACTGGTAACTATAAAACTGTGGTAACATTTAAAACTAGAAATCTAACACAGCTCTGCCATCGACTCCTTCTAATCGGCAGACTTATAAATCTTCCATTTTTCATATAAAAACGCTACTCGAGCGGCATGTATTAAAAAAAAATAACTGGCATTTTTAACATAGAAAATGGTGACAGTTTCACAACTGCAGACATGCATCGACATTCAACAAGGCAACAGAAAGTATGGGTGGCTGGTGTAGCAACGAGGTCACGTGACAGTGGTCACATGATCAGTGAAAGACAGGTCATGCATTAAGTAATGAATGATTGGTTAGTAATGGTTGATATGGAAACAAGTGGTTGTTATGGTAACTATAGGCATGCACTCTATGTTGAGCCTGCATCAGACAAACGATGATGAGACATGCAAGATGATGAAATTCGATGTTCCACAAAAACATTTCAGGCATACACACCAAAAATAAATAAAAATATTGGCATAGAATCACATGCATTCAAAGCACATTATGACTATATTTTTTCGATGGCAGCAAAATAATCGTTGCATGGTATTTGAAAAGTCTGCAGTTTTGTTGAAGCATGTCGAGAATTTTATATGCGTGCTGTATCGGCAAAAATTGCAATTGACCCTGAATTGTCATGTCCTGTTGTTTGTCATGATTAATACTAGGCGTGGTCGAAGCCAAACAAAAAGTCAACAAAAGTAACGCAGGCACAGTCTTGTCTATTGAAGTGGTAGTGTCAGTTGGCATCAACTAGAAACAGCGTTACTTCATTCACATGGCAACTGAAACTCAAAAATTGGGTTGGAGACTAACAGCAGCAGGTAAAACACTGCACACAGAGAAACCAGTGGGTTCGAGGCTATGATTATTGCAGCCAATCACAGCACACCATTGAACTTATGACCTGTCCTCCATCTGACCGTGAAAGAAGTGTTTACACACACACACGACCCCGAGATCCACACCAGCCAGCCCAACAATGGCTGACTCTCACCTTAGTGTGGAGTTTGATGGGTTGAAGGTCTTTTTAATGGGCTCGCATTTCATACGCTGCAGAGGCTGGTAGACTTTATGCTGTGCAGCTGCAGAACTCTGGATTTGTTGTGCACGGAACGACATCGATTGCACATATTGCACTCCGGGACCCTGACTCTTGACTGTTTGGAAGGAGCTGGTCACCTCCCTTGTCCCGCCATACTGTGGATGGTCCCCTCCTCCTGGATGATGTTGTTGCTGTTGCTGCTGCTGCTGCTGCTGCTGACCGTACATCACCTGTGGGTGGCCCACAGACACCGAGGATGTTGTCGAGTAGGTAGGGGATTGGGGGGTACAAGCCCGATATGGACTAGGGGGGTGGACTAGGTTTGAACTGGACTGGAACTGGCCGGACCCCGAGTGATGTGACGTTTCACTGTCCGTGGAGTGTTGTGAAGGAGTACTGGCCCGAGAGATGCGTTCAGTTCCTATCAACTGTCTCTGGTAATGTTCTATTAACCGCTGACGCCGTAAACGTTCACTGTACTTGTAAAAGTCTGCCATTTCATATGGCTTACTGACTTCCATATGGGGTTGAAGTCGAGTGACAGTCACTAGAGAACTTGATTGAGGTGATGGCTGGGACTCTCTGAGTCTCGCATTACCACTTTGGTCACTGGAAGCAGGGTACACATATCTCTCCGACCTCGTATACGAGCCCTCAAACCCTCGCGGGCTGTAACACTGATCTACTTGTGGACTCTCAGATCTACCTGCATTGTCTTTACGTTCTGGTTCTGGGCTACGTACGATTGGTGATGGATCTGTCGGCGCAGCCTCCTGCCAGAACTGCTTTTCACTATAATAAGTCCGTCCATCACCACGGTTTCCGTCACCACGGTTACCACTATGCTCCTCATGATGCACTGGTACCTCGACCATGATACTACTACGATGCGATGGTGGATCATACTCATACTCAGTCTGTGATTCACGCTTACTCCCGAATCGTGATGGCGTCAACTCGGGCAGGTTCGGATCATTCCCAGGATGCTCCTGTCTCGAGTTGCGCTCCAAGCTGTTATACTTTTGCTGCGCTTTCCGATAAGCTCCATCAAGGCTGCCATGCTTCGATGGCAGATTGAGTCTGTCGTCGTACACCCCTTCTCCCTGGTAGTTAGGGTTTGCCGTCATCTTCAGATGGTCGGTGCTCTCGTAGTGGGAGGTGCGTTGGGAGTTGATGTTGTACATGTTGTTGGCCGAGCTGAAGCCGCTGTCCACACTACCCTCCAGCCGCCCGGCCTGCTTCATGTTGTCGTACTCCGACTGATTGCTGGAAGAAGAACGACTCCGGCTGTTGAGAGTGGGATACATCTGACTGCGGTACTGCGTGCGGGTAGCGTACACGCTGCTGGCCAGGTAGCCACCACACAGCTGGGGACTGCAGAGAGAAACAATGCACAAGGTACAGACGGACGCACGGACAGCCGCACAGCCAGTTAGAGGTTAGAGGAAGCCAGGCAAGAGTGTTAGGGAGGCATGCTGTCAGTATGTTAGCTGTACACTTGTGGATGTGGTTAGAGTATAAGGTATATACCACGTGGTTAGAGTATATGGTATATATTATTGGATTACAAATGTCACTGGGTCAGCTTGTAAGGAGTGAAATGATTGGACAGCAATAAAATATCGGGACCCAGCTTGCTTGATCAGAATGACTTAGTAACGTAATTTTAGAATAGCATAGTTCCGCTAAAAGAACTGGGCAAAATGCTAAAATCCATCAATTGGTTAACTTGCTTCCTACATATTTTTAACAGTAATATCAATTTCAATAATTTAATTTAATAAATAGGGAATACTAAACGATGTCCCGTGTAATACCATATTTATGAAACGAGTGAATGATTTGGTATCTAATGAGCGAAAGTGAGTTAGATACCAATACCATTCACGAGTTTCATAAATATGGTATTGCACGGGACATCGTTTAGTATTTTATTTATTATTCACCCAACATTAGTAAAATAATATCGAGCAAAGTACCTTTTTCCTAAGAATTCAAGGAGTGTGATGACTCTCAGCTTTCCGCGAGTCAAGCAAGGTCTAATACTAGTGTGACAGAGGTATCAGCATTGTGACGTCATAACTCTAAACCACTTTGGCGTCATACGTACGCCATCACGCGATGTTATTACACAATGTGTAATAACATTGTAAAATTATTAAACAGTGATATCTTCAACGGGTGAGTAATAATAACGTGTCCCACACCTGAAATCTGCTGATTCTAACACTGATTTTGATATTCTTAAATAAACTGTTTGAATATTTGCTGTCTCAACGCTGCCATGTACTGGAGCAGTCTTCCATCATTTCACGCCCTTGCTGTGGTCAGGACAGGTATTTCAGAGCAGGTTATGTTATGATTGCAAGGAAAGGGTATGCCATGACTGGGGCTGGTCGGCAGAAAGGAGCCGATACTTACAGTGCTTGATGAACAAGGTTGGGCAGGTATAGTGGGGTCTTCTATAGAGGTTATTGAAACAAACACGCTACAGGGGATATCTGGTTGCCATGGTGATGATGATGATGATGATGATGATGATGAGTGAGTTGATGATGCTCATTGTCTGGGTGGTGATGTTGGATGTAATGCTCATTGTCTGGGTGGTGATGTTGGATGTAATGCTCATTGTCATGGGTGGTGATGTTGGATGTAATGCTCATTGTCTGGGTGGTGATGTTGGATGTAATGCTCATTGTCTGGGTGGTGATGTTGGATGTAATGCTCATTGTCTGGGTGGTGATGTTGGATGTAATGCTCATTGTCTGGGTGGTGATGTTGGATGTGATGTTCATTGTGGGTGGTGATGTTGGATGTGATGCTCATTGTCTGGGTGGTGATGTTGATGTAATGCTCATTGTCATGGGTGGTGATGTTGGGATGTGATGTTCATTGTCTCGGTGGTGATGTTGGATGTAATGCTCATTGTCTGGGTGGTGATGTTGGATGTAATGTTCATTGTCTGGGTGGTGATGTTGGATGTAATGCTCATTGTATGGGTGGTGATGTTGGATGTAATGCTCATTGTCTGGGTGGTGATGTTGGATGTAATGCTCATTGTCTGGGTGGTGATGTTGGATGTAATGCTCATTGTCTGGGTGGTGATGTTGGGATGTGATGTTCATTGTCTGGGTGGTGATGTTGGATGTAATGCTCATTGTCTGGGTGGTGATGTTGGATGTAATGTTCATTGTCTGGGTGGTGATGTTGGGATGTGATGTTCATTGTCTGGGTGGTGATGTTGGATGTAATGCTCATTGTATGGGTGGTGATGTTGGGATGTGATGTTGATTGTCAGGGTGATGTTGGGATGTGATGCTGAATGTCAGGGTGATGTTGGGATGTGATGTTGAATGTCAGGGTGATGTTGGGATGTGATGTTGATTGTCAGGGTGATGTTGGGATGTGATGCTCATTGTCAGGGTGATGTTGGGATGTGATGCTCATTGTCAGGGTGATGTTGGGATGTGATGCTCATTGTCAGGGTGATGTGATGATGGGATGTGATGCTGATTGTCAGGATGTGATGTTGATGTTGGGATGTGATGTTGATTGTCAGGGTGATGTTGGGATGTGATGTTGATTGTCATGGTAGTGATGTTGGGATGTGATGTTGATTGTCAGGGTGATGTTGGGATGTGATGTTCATTGTTAGATTGGTGGTGATGTTGGGATGTGATGATTGGGATGTGATGTTGATTGTCATGGTGGTGATGTTGGGATGTGATGTTGATTGTCAGTGGTGATGTTAGGATGTGATGTTGATTGTCAGGTGGTGATGTTGGGATGTGATGCTCATTGTTAGGTGATGTTGGGATGTGATGTTGATTGTCAGGGTGATGTTGGGATGTGATGCTCATTGTCAGGGTGATGTTGGGATGTGATGCTCATTGTCAGGGTGATGTTGGGATGTGATGCTCATTGTCAGGGATGTGATGTTGATTGTCAGGGTGATGTTGGGATGTGATGTTGATTGTCAGGGTGATGTTGGGATGTGATGTTGATTGTCATGGTGATGTTGGGATGTGATGTTGATTGTCAGGGTGATGTTGGGATGTGATGTTCATTGTTAGGGTGATGTTGGGATGTGATGTTGATTGTGATGTTGATGGATGTGATGTTGATTGTCATGGGGTGATGTTGGGATGTGATGTTGATTGTCAGGGTGATGTTGGGATGTGATGTTGATTGTCAGGGTGATGTTGGGATGTGATGCTCATTGTCAGGGGTGATGTTGGGATGTGATGTTGGATGTCATGATGTTTGATTGATTATCAGGGTGATGTTGGGATGTGATGTTGATTGTCAGGGTGATGTTGGGATGTGATGTTGATTGTCAGGGTGATGTTGGGATGTGATGTTGATTGTCAGGGTGATGTTGGGATGTGATGTTGATTGTCAGGGTGATGTTGGGATGTGATGTTGATTGTCAGGGTGATGTTGGGATGTGATGCTCATTGTTAGGGTGATGTTGGGATGTGATGTTGATTGTCATGGTGGTGATGTTGGGATGTGATGTTGATTGTCAGGGCAGTGATGTTATGATGTGATGTTGATTGTCATGGTGGTGATTTTGGGATGTGATGTTGATTGTCATGGTGGTGATGTTGGGATGTGATGTTGAATGTCAGGGTGATGTGGTGATGTTGGGATGTGATGTTCATTGTCAGGGTGGTGATGTTATGATGTGATGTTGATTGTCATGGTGGTGATTTTGGGATGTGATCTTGATTGTCATGGTGGTGATGTTGATTGTCAGGGTGATGTTGGGATGCGATGTTGATTGTCAGGGTGATGTTGGGATGTGATGTTGATTGTCAGGGTGATGTTGGGATGTGATGTTGATTGTCAGGGTGATGTTGGGATGTGATGTTGATTGTCAGGGTGATGTTGGGATGTGATGCTCATTGAACATGTTTTTAAGTAGGTCAGTATATATATTTACAAGAGGAAGTGATCTCATCATGATAAAGACAGGGATATAGATAAGTGACATATCAGGTGATGAGGAAGAGGAACATCATGATGATGAAGGAACAAACACAGGACAAAGGTCAAGATAAATGGATAGAAGGATGAAGCATATGATGAAGTTTATGATGATGAAGGAATGAACACAGAATGAAGTTAAAGTGAGTGAGTGAGTTTAGTTTTACGCCGCACTCAGCAATATTCTAGCTATTTGGCGGTGGTCTGTAAATAATCGAGACTGGACCAGACAATCCAGTGATCAACATCATGAGCATCGATCTACGCATTTGGGATACGATGACATGTGTCAACACAGTCAGCGAGTCTGACCACCTGATCCTGTTAGTCACTTCTTACGAAAAGCATGGGTTGCTGAAGATCAATATTCTAACCTTCAAGGGTCCGTTGGAGTTAAAGATAAAAGGTTAGTAGGATGAAGAATTAAAGGTTAGAAGGATGACATTCATGAAGATGAAGGATATGCGAAAGATGAAGACTATGTCAAGCAAGCAGGGACAGGAAGCCATGTTAGAGAGGGGAGTGATGGTGAGTCTGGGTAAGTAGAAAGCTCCATTGCTCAGACAGCTAGGGACGCAAGTAAACTGTGCACAATCTCCAGTACTGCAGTCAGGTTATCAACACACTCAACATGTTAAACATTCTCCGAAATTTGAAAAACAAGCATTCTGCAATGGAAAACAGGCAAAATTAGTGTCTATTTTAATATTCATTTAATTACAGCACATGTATATAGAGGCATTTTATATAAACTCTACTGTTTTGGAAATGATAAAATCACACTGAAACCATGGTAACTCTAGTATGTGCTTACAGTCTCTTACAGACTAAGGGTATTCAAGGATATAAGATGAATGAGCATGCATTATATAATGTATAAGGTTATGATTCCATCACCATAGGGAGAATATTGAACGCATACATACATATATTGAATATAAAATGTAATTTCAAGATTTTGTTTGCAATATTTTCAATATATATTTTAATTACAAAGTCTGAAAACATAATTCCAATTGTTACATATTGAAATAAACTTAGAGATCAGTTATTCATCCTGGTATTTTTAATTTTTTTTTAAAAGTTATGTACTATTGGATGGAGAAATTAGTTATTTATAGAAAATTACATAAAAAGAAGTAATTTTCAGAACATGAAACACTTCAAAGAAAGTAATTTTGGTTGATGAATAACGTGTGTTGACTCTTCAAGGGAGACAACTGTGAGTGTCCTGAGCCTCACTGGAAGTACATACCTGCTGTGACTGGGACTTAGAGTTACACTGTGGGGGATGGATTGGGGAGGGGTGAGGCTGTCTTCATCTGGGGGCGTTGCTGGTGGTGGAATGACTGAGAAGAGATGGGAGGACGATCTTTCATATTTCCCTGAAAAACAACTACAATGTTATCCAAACTGTTTGAAGTGAAGGATTGGCTTGTTTCATCACCAAAACACTGTTTCACTCATAAATTTATTATGTTCAACGAACATTTTCTGTTTCATGAAATTCCACTTTAAATACAATACATGCCAACTAGTGAGCGACTCAGTGAATTTAGTTTTATGCCGCTTTTAGCAATATTCCAGCAATATCACAGCTGAGACACCAGAAATGGGCTTCACACATTGTACCCATGTGGGAATCGAACCCGGGTCCTTGGCAAGACGAGTGAAAGCTTTAACCACTAGGCTACCCCACCGCCCCAGATGCCAACTAGTTCACATGGTAACGCAATATCACATTGCCATACAATTTACAAGCTTATTGAGCTTGAGCTGCCTGGAGACAGTTAAACAAAGCTTTATATTCCATACAGTTAGAGCATCCCAAAACCCCACCTGAGGGTGATGTACCGGCTGTTCACGTTGATAACGCTGCACCGGAGGCGACTGAGCTGGAGATACAATCTCTGAATCTGAAACCATCAGAAGAACTCCTTAAAGTCGGCACAATCCAATCAACACCAACAAATCAAGCTGATCTTATTTCTCACACAAAATACATATCATCTCCTGTTCTATGACAGATTCAAGTTCTAACCAACGGGGTGACTCATGCATTCAAACCATTCTTTCTACGATTTTAAAAATGTTCATGCACTAACATTCAAATCCTTACAATATTGGCGCAAAGCTGCAATTTGTTCTGGATTGTCTTTAACTGAATTCCAGTGTTCTTCACATTAAATATCAGTCTTGGTAAGAAATGATTAAAAATATCTACTGCATTACTATAGGTTTTTGAGACTTAATAAATGAAAATCTAACAAATAGTGATTTAAATTTGAAACACACCTAGTTCTCAGTTACAAATCATATTGTGTATTTAATGATAATGCATTCCTTGTTGGGTTATAACATGCAGTGTATGAACACAGATGGGTTGAAGACATCGTTACCATTGCCATGGTAACTGCAAAAGTTACAGAATTGTTTTAGGGTGTGTGCACTTGATATATATGGTGTGGACATTTTAAGTGTTTGTAAACGGTCACAGTACATGCAGAACAAAACACAATGCTTCCAGTTTAGATCCAGTGTTTGGCCATGCAACAGCAACTTTGACAAACTCAAATGACAAATGAAATGATTATGCTCATTAGCTGAAAATGAATATGTGGGTTGAAATTAGGCAAAATAGGAAAATATTCTTCCCTGTTAACATTGTACCATGCAGCACAATATTGTACAGTGTTCTCTATTAAATTAAGTTGCATTCTCAAATTTGGTTGCAGTATCGTCAAATTAGATTGTCTTCATAGCAATAGATCACTGAAGACCATATTTACATACTGACTACATAAAAGCAGTGATTATCTCCAAACGATGAAACCACTGGAAAATAATTCATATTTTCAGTAACCAGTTAATGCACATTAATTAATTTTCATATTTTTCTTACTGTTTTAATTCTTGTTAACGATCAGAACACTGTACAAAGTGTTTATTACAGCGACACTTAAAAACACTCCCGACTCGAGCACACGTGCAGTCGGATATACACAGTACCGACGTACCACTATCTGTTAAGGGGAGACTATCCTCGCTTTGTGCTGCAAACGGGGGAGAAATTGGCGAAAATGACTGTTAGTTACAAATACCACACATTGCAACACATCACTGTACATCTCAATGTAGGACAAACAACAGTGGACCAACATATATGCAGGCAGTAAAAGACAAGAACTACAGTAGAAATATTTTCAGGAACAATTGCTGTTCTCACAGCTGAGAAGACTTAAGTTCCATTTGTTCGAGATTTTACGAATGCTTCCAGCTATAGCTGATTTTGCACATACATTGACCTGTGTCATGGCGAGAGATGACAATAGGTCGTGGTTGAGTGTTTCAGCTGTATATCAGCTGTATATATCAATGTACACACAGCTGTATAAATGAATGTATATGAACCAGAATTATGGCTAATTCATCACCAACTGAATCCTGGGGTGATGTGAACACCTTGCCTTCTCCATTCACACACAAGCGGTCATTCATGTGACATAAGTATACATTTGTCATGAAAATGAAAACAGATTCTTTCACAGTGTCCCATGTCAACTGAAAGAGACATTATCCTTAAATTTTAATGAGCTGTATTTCAATAGCCCAACTCTTGTGTTTACATGTAAAATCATTTACAATATTGCAAGTCGGTTGCACCAAATTGAAGACGTCCATCTTGCTGCAGATGCTGGAATTTGGCAGTTTCCATGATGCATGTATTTGACAAAGTTGTTCCACTTGTCGATCGTACATTTATACAAGATAACATTTGCAGTGACAAAGCAAGACATCTGACACCCTGACATTGTCAGTCTGACATTGCAATTATCGTGTCTCCCACAATAGTAGAGGTATTGGATTAGCCCAAGCCGTCAAGGTTGAGTGGATGAGACCCGACTCAGTCACGAAGACAGTATATCTTATCACCCAAGTAATCTACACCTCGGTTTGAGAACCTGCTCGACAACCGATGCATGTTCAATTACTATCAACAATAACTGAATTACGTCTCAATTTGAGACGTCATTTGAAACTTTTGTTCTTCCTACTTCACTTCCTACAGGGAAGTTTGATTCCTTGTTACAACTACTAAATAATTAGGTTATGGTGTTGGTCAGAATAGATTATATATCACAGGGATGGCAACAGGAAAATATATTATCAGTTGAAAACTTAATACGGTGTCATTGAATGGGGGTTTCTCAGATTTAGATTCACAGAATTGATCAATTTGAAATCAGCGGAAAGGTGTGGATTGGCGGAAAATTGCCATCCCTGATATCTCAATTGTATTTTGAAAGTAACCTAATTATTTGACCAGGAAAACTTTCCCACAAGCGTTGATCAAGATTGTGGTTGTGACGGTGCCTTTCCTTGGAAGAACTGAGTGCACCAGGATCATCAAATGAGTTCTTTTCTATGCGACAGATCTCCTTGATTCTTGTAAAAGGCAACATTGCATGGACTATTCACAATGCTGAACCCCATTGAGAAGCTGTTTCACCCCCAAACAAGCACTAAAGCTGCAGTGATACTAAAAGCCATGCAAAACAGAAATGAGAGTGAAACCCTGGCTGAGGGTTGTGCGACACAGAAATGAGAAAACAAAAAACGAAACATAAAACCAAAATAAGGAAACATAAAACTTTTATTACAAAATAAATAAAATGCTTGTACATATTCATGCCACATAAAACACTACAGGGAGAGAAATGCATTGCTAACACCTCGACTCTTGGATTCCACCCAAGATCTGACTGGAATAAGTTGACTGGGATTTGGATTTGGAGATTATAAGGCCATTGGGATTCAGATCCCACGGAAGACAGATCATTTCATAAAATACTAAGTCTGTATCTACCTGAGATATTAAATAAGCAGGTAATGACATTTCAAATTTGCATGACACAGATCAGCATACAAACAAAATGAAAACAAAGAACAAGTGCATGGCAACAACAAAACAATCACACGAACACCTCAAACATTGCCATCCATGCATTCAGTTCATTCAGCACTGACACCATGCTTGTCAGTCACATACACACGACACTGTTACAGACATCATGCATACAGGTACGTGTTCACTCCAACAACGCCCTAAGCTGCAGCACCATGCATACATCTACCACTGTACACTTGACAGAGACATGCATACGATCACTAGCATATGACCATGATACCATAACACATGCACTATAACACTTCTGAAAACACCACGCTGTCGCCATGATAACACTTCTGGTAACACTCCTGTCAACACACTGTCACCATGGTAACAATCATGACACCAAACTGTCACCATGGTAACGCTCCTGTCACAATGGTAACAATCCTGACACCACACTGTCACCATGGTAACACTCCTGTCAACACACTGTCACCATGGTAACGCTCCTGACAACACACAGTCACCATGGTAACACTCCTGACACCACACTGCCGCCATGCACTCCATGCATCAATCATTCCTACTACGCTACATTATGCACTGGTATGCATGAGACATCTGGCAAGAGCACCATGTAATGCTGTGAAAGCTGTACAATAACAAGTGACCCAACTTTGGGATATTCAGCATTGCTTCAAGTCCATGTAATGATACAACACATCCCTGTTCATGATAAAAGATCAGTGTAACCCAGCACCGTCCTTCTTGTATCAATCCTCAGACCTGACTCTCCTTCATGGGTGCTTTGGGAACACTAAGACTCTTCTCCAGAAGGTACTGATGCCAAGAGGCTCGCGCCCCGGTCAAAAAACTACCATCCACATCCTCATCTTCATCAGAGTTCTCATACAGAGCCTCATCACTGCAGGATTCCACGTATGACTTGTGATGGAACGATCGTGAATTGGTGCGGGGAAACCACAGAGACTGTGTTGCTCGGCTGTCAAATTCTCTAACAGGGGAAAGCATTTCGTCACTGAGGGAATTGGACAGCCTAGGGTGCACGTGGAGATACGTACCATCATACGTGGAGGATGCTGCTCGCAGTCCAACCTTCCCTGCCATGCGCTTCATTTCATTCAGTTTCTTCTCCATGTCCTTGAGCTGAAACAACATAACACCTTGGTTCAACGCTGTGCAACAGACTGAAACTTCATTGGTGACAATACAGATGGAAGCTAACAGTTTTATCACTGCTGATATTGTATCAGTTGCTATGATACACTGTTTCCTAATTTATTGATTTACAACCAAAATCTTGCTGGTCACCACAAAAGCAGTACTCCACAAAGAGTGAATTTTAAGCCGCTTTTAGCAATATTCCACCAATATCACGGTAGGTGACACAAGAAATGGGCTCTACACATTGTACCCAATCGAACCCGACATGACGAGCAAACGCTTTAACCTCTAAGCTACCCCACCACCATGGTCCACAAAGAACAAGACTTGATATCATTTGTCTAGCCTGTGTTTACCTTCTGCAGAGCTCTATTGTAAGACTGTCTCCTCTGTTTGCGGACATTCTTGCCTACAGCCTTGTCCTGGGCCAACTTGTGAGCTGCACTGGTAATCTTACTCTGCAGCTCATACTCCAGCTCCATCTTTGCCAGCTGGTCTTCGGGCTGCAACACAAGGTTAAGACAGGGATAGAAATGCAATTGTTTCAAAGGGTGCTACATATGGCACCAGTGAAATAATTCAGATGTACCTGTGTAAAACTAATTATACCCATACCTTTTTAATGATCCAATTAAACTTAAAAACATCACAAAACTGGCGTTATGTAATCCTGTCAACGTGAGAGCTGGATTTCCTGAATACTAGTTAGTTAAGAATAGTTAACTAGGCCCATAAACAAACACATTGACTAGGATTTTCTGTCACATGCACTAGCATTGAAACTGACCATGGTGTGGGATGGTGTGCAGAACTATGTTTTGAATCATTTGACTTTATATCATTTTTCATAAAATGAATCATGGTTTCATAAATCTTAGGTGTTTTATCAAGACACTGTAAATATATTTCAACATTTACTGTGACATGGCACACAAATTAAGCACTATTTTGATCCTAGTTCTCATGGGCAAAGAACAGAGAACATTTACATCTACACTTGGTCAGATGCTTACCAACTAGTAACACCAAATTGTATTAATGCTACTTTACATGGATAAATTTTCACTAAATGTAAATTACACTAGATTACATTAATAAATAAAACAAAGATTTCTACCTCATCTGTTCCGCTGACTGCCTTGGCCGAGAGGGAGAAGGATGTCCCCACCCTCCTCCTGAAGGTAGGGATCTGCTCCCCTGGGGCAAGGGGAGTCTCCTTGGGTAGCTCCCCAGTCAGTTCCTGGAACATACAGCAGTTTAAGTATCGGAGCAACAACATAATCTGCAGTTTACATTATCAGTGCCTCGGGCAACTTCAGAAGCAGTTAATATAGACTTTGATTTACTGGACCATGACACAGACAAGCATATTATCAGGATAAGGATATACTTGGGCTAAACTGATGCCGTTTGAAAGCAGTCAACCTACCCCTTCCTGGAAGCATAGTCTCTTCAACTCTTCAGTCTTCCTCCTCAGGGTCTCCTCCAACGCCTCCTTCCGCGCCCGCAACGCTTGGTACATCTCACGCTGGGCCTTGATCGAGTCCGCCTGCTCAATGTTCACTGAAAAAGACACACAACATGAGTCTCGAAAAATCAACAAAATACCATGTACCATATATGTCTACCATGAATACACTGAAAAATACAACATCCAACAGCTGATGTTGCAATATCAACCTTTGTCCATCATGACGATGTTCCCACACAAGGAAATACAGCAAGTATTCAGGAAGTGTCAATGGTTAATGGTGTACAGGATCTGACATCAGTCTCATATCATCTCAATAAGTGCCTTACTTGACATTCAACCGACAGTGACATGTCTCAATACACAAGCCGTGTAGACACAACACGCAGAATTCCTCAACTGGAAACATAACTGCCAAGTGTATATCACAGCCATAAAACCCATCGGAAATAGATCATCTACCTAGCATCTTTCCACAGTGTCCCACGATAACCAGCTCAGATAAATTCACACACTTCCCACAGGCAAGATCGACATTGCTGTCATTCTTAGTTGTAAACACCACGTCACCCATTCAGTGAGCATTGAATTCACAGCATAGCTTTTTTCAAAGGGAAAAGGGTATGGCCAGTGATCAATCGAGTCACCTACCCATGACACAGAGGTGACCTCATTGCGCCTACATTACCTTCAAACATGGTGCATGCTTCACACAAATATGTCTCACAGATCACATGTACTCCGGGTTACGAATATCTACACGGGGAGGTGGAGGGTGGTCCAGCCACAAAGGGTTGGTTCACCATAGCCTGAATCAGTCTCATCATGGATGCTAACTGGGAGAAGCCTGCTCCGTGCACATTGTGAACAGTCAAGTGCAGAAAATCAATAGCTTCTATATGCTGCACAGTGGTGATGTCATACGGCCAGAAAAAACAGCCAAGAATGTGGGATTAGGATAAGACTGGAATACCTGGCTCTCATGGATATTTCCTATCAGATCAATAGTCTGCGATAACCTGGAAACCTGCCCCAAGCAGGAATAATTCTCATAAACTGTATAATTAATCGAATCTGCCCCATCAAGCCCTGAGCGAGATGTCCGAACATGTCCACATCAATAACTGGGTAATATGTTTTTAACATTTCTCAGGACATTAAATTTAGAAATACCAAATAACTGTATTTAATATTTACAAATCAAAATTTATGTTACAATTAAAGTCCCCAGCCCAGATGTAATTCACAGTGATTCTAATTAAAGACATTACACATGCTATGCAAGGGTTTTCATACTTAGTATCATGTTGAAGAATAACACTGGTGAACAACGTACTGGTGAATTACACAAGGTCCTTGTTGCAAATGAACCTGACAAATCTCCAGCCTGTAATATAGCTGGGATAATCCCCTCGGCTTATCCCTTCAAGCTGAGAGAAAGGCAGGACAAAAGGGTAGTGTTGATCCCTTCAGGGTCCTGAAGGGGCTGGTTCCTGTGATGCCAGCCAGGCTTGAGGAAGTGGATTACCCCCTGAGGTGACAGGGCTCTCTCCTGAGTCCTATTGTTTTCATAATGGTGTGAAACAACACACTGTCTCACTGTCATTGTGACACTAACAGTGTGATTTTTACCACTCCCACTTGTTTTTATGCATGTATTTGCTGAGTCTACCTGTTTCCTTACACTTACAGCTGTAGGTTTATTTGATGATTGAATCCAATAAGTAAGTCTGATTGCGCTTCATTGTCTGTCCAGACAGCATAGTGGCAGAACTAACATTGGCAGGCAACAATCTCTTATCTTTTGTTGGAAGTGTTAGACATTATTCTTTGTAGCTAATTGATATACTGGACGATGTTTAAGGAATTGTTTTCAGTTAGAACCCCTAATGTACATACAAATACCAGTACTACTATCAATACAATGCATTTGGAGTCATTTAGACATGAGCTGGAGATTTGGAATTTTTACAGGATATTCATCCATGTCCAGATGGCCAATGACTATTCACAGAATGAACACTGTGAATGATGAACCAACATCATAATATGACTTTTATTAAAAAAAGCATTAAGGAAAATGATGAAATAAGATTAATTATGCTTGTGGAACTATTCATCTAAACTTTTCACATTGACAATTATGGATTCAAAGGCTATTGAAAGTGAAGAAAAAACCTCATATTTGGTTATGTTGTGCTAATGTCTGCTGTATTGATCGTCCTACCCACAAAGCATGTACCACAAACACAGAAGGGTGTGATGAATCAATAGTTCATCAAGTGGGGCTATAAATGAGTAATCCTGTATTGTAATTGTGTCAAATAAAATATGGCCATAACCACCATGAGTCATATCAAACTCCAGCCTGCCATACACCCAAATCCAATAAGGGTTTAACAAGTCTTAAATGTCTCTGGGTTTCTCAATATTTTCCTCAAAAACTAAACCTTTAGAATTAATTCTCTCCAGGGAAAAATAAATCCATTGAATTAAGCTCTAATGGTGAAAATGAACCAATGGTGGTAGTGTTGTTTTGTTCTACACAGTGATAATATTAATGTATACTGTATGTCTACCATGTATCTGGTGTTGTATTAACCTTTGTTACCTGTCCACTGATCAAAGCATTCAGAGTCTTTGATCTTATCTGCAAGGTCAACAAGTCATTGTTGCCAATAAGACAATGATGTAATTAAGCAAATAAACTTTCAATACCCTAATTAACTTACATCAAAGCTGGTCACAAGCTTGACACTGCTACTGACACACATTACTTCATTAAACGTGTTAAGTTTAGATTCCTTGCCTTTGACAACTTTATTCATTTTACAATTTCACTGACAAATTTATTCATTAATATGCAGCTGCACTACTGACTATCAACAGCATTGTAAAATATAAAAAAAGTACATCAGTAAGTGATTATCATTATTATTGATTATTTCACGGTTAGCTTTATTCCATTTAAGACTTTAATAAAAAGCCAGTTTGTTGGGAGTTGAAATCTGTAAAGAGGGGGAAAGTCACCTAATGAAGGCATATGAATAAAGTCTGAATATGTTGCGTGATAAAAAGAGCATTGACATCCCTCATTTCTATCACTTCTAAACTAATACACTTTACATACAAAACTTCTGGAGAAATTACATATCTTTATTTAATTATCTTTGGGTATTAGTATATCCAGCTGGTTTTGAAGACTTTGCCTATCCAGTCTGTGATCTTCTCATTTTATGAATGCTTCAAGCTAATGCTGACACTCAAGCAACCTCTGATCTTACTGAGAGACAGCTATTTTTGAATGCTTTAAGCTTAACACAACTGAACTGCATCAAGATTGTTTCCATTACTAAAACTACTCTCACCTCTACGAAGAGCTCTATTCATCAAAGCCAGGGCATCAACAAATTGGGCACAAGTCTCCATCTTTGAAACATCCATCTCTATCACTGTCACGTATAGCACTAGACTGACATAAAGATCTCGACTCATCTCAACTTATATACCCAGTTATTCTGTATCTACACAGCCTTTCTCACTCAATCAACTAGCACAACAGTGAAGCCCTGTCACAACCCATCTGGCTTCTTTGGAACAACACTGGCTTCACTACCTTTCGTGATCACCTGCTCGTTAAACATAAAAGGCTTGACGAGGTTGATCAATTGAGATTATTGCTTCACCTGATAACTTCTTTGTCAGGCTTCACCTGGCTTGGGTTGTACTGTTTTTACAGCTAATTGATTAGATCTTGTGAGGGTCAAACAACTACAGTTAAATAAATGTCTGTCAGTGTTTGGTGAATATATTTTGTTTAGAAGAACTGCATCATCTAAACAAATTATATTCACCAAATTGTAAATACTGACAGACAGACATTTTTGTGACAGCACTGAAGGTTATTAACATGGACTTCTGTAGATTTTGAATTTTGGTTTTACAATTTGTCACTTCAAAATTGGGTCAGTGGTAGACATCAATATAACATTGTTGTAGTAGTTTTAAATATATCGTCATAATAAACATTAATATTTTTGTTAAATGACACAGTCAAATGGGTGAAAAAGGCAATGATAATGTTTATTAAAATGTCAGAAACATGGTTTGTTCTATACCAATATGTTAGTGGAAACACATTTTATTCAAAATAAATTGAACTAGGATTGGTAAACAAGCTGTAATGGTTTATTTGAATACCTCTCCATTTCATTGATACATGAATAAAACAAATATTAAATAATATGCAGCATGATAGGAAAGCCAGCAGCCCGGTATTGAACATCATTCATCATTTATCAAACCTATGCGAATTTATTATAAAAGTATGGACAAATTTTAGTATAAAAGAATTTATAAGTGTATTTTTGTTTGGATTACCATTCAGGACAGATTTTAAATGATATCCATGTTATATACCAATATGTTGCTGGCCAAGAATGTGTGCGTGTCAGAGATAAAATCCTTCAATTGTCTGTTTGTCACTGAGATAAAATCCTTCAATTAGTCTGTTTGCCTAAAAAAATGTGCACTGTGTTATTTGAAACATGTACACCATGACACTTGCTAGATCAGAGTTTGAGTGAGTGACAACCAAGAGTGAGTGAGTGAACATGGTAATGATTTTGTGCATTTCACTCTGAAAATACATTCTGGTTCTTGATATCACGAAAGGTGTTTGTCATGAGACACGATTCAAGATTATTTAGGGCGTCTGCTAGTTTTATAGTGAGATAATACTACACAGTGTGAGTGAGTGAGTGAGTGAGTGAGTGAGCCTACTTAGTGAGTGAGTGAGTGAGTGCCTACCTACTTAGGGCCTCTGCTAGTTTTATAGTGAGATAATACTTACACAGTTAGTGATTGGTGATTGATTGAGTGAGTGAGTGAGTGAGTGAGTGAGTGATTGATTGATTGATTGACCTACTTAGGGCCTCTGCTAGTTTTATAGTGAGATAGTTTTATAGTGAGATTCTATGTGTGTTGTCGATGATGTATCTTTTACACCATTTATGCAGAAAATGTCCCTTGACCAAAAATGGCAGCAACCAGGTTTAGGATGCTTTACCCTGAAGTCAGTGGGATTCAGCAGGTATAGTTTTTGAGTGATTGCTTGAGTGATAGAGTGAGTGAGATCGGCTTTACGTCACTTTCTGCAACATCACAGCCCAGAAATGGGCTTCACACATTGCACCCATGTGGGAAATCCGACTCAGACCTTCAGCGTGATGGTTGAACACTTTAACCACAAGGCTACCCCAACCACTCCAGCATGGATAGTTCAACTATGGGAGGATCTCATGTGGGTAATTCTGAGAAGTTTCTTCATCGTAATTAACAAAAAAGTTGAAGTGTACTCACAATCAAACCTGGAAGTGGTGAGACTAGGCAAGCTCTGGGAGCTGGCACTACGACTGAGATCAGAGCCAATAGAACCGGGTAATGACGTGGTACTCTTTGATAAGTCAGCAGCGATCTCGCTCATACTCCGAGCACTTGGCAGTGTTGCCTGAAACACAAGTGTTCATGAACATGAGCTTCCCATCAATTCCTTAAAATCTATTTCATATATCATGAGTAATCGAACACCTGCCATTAACAGATATGCTTCAAAATAGTGTCTTTGCCACACACCAATTGGTTTAGAACATTTTCCTGCTTTTTATTTCTTCTTCAGTTTTCCAGACATCAGAACCATTTCTTCCATCTCAAACCACTGGCTCATCCTGTAATACCTAAGGGACATAACTCTGGAGACAGAACTGATGTCCAGATGGACCGACAAAGGGATAACCAATAAACTCCAGTTCATCGTGAAACAGAATTTAACCTACAAATCTTTACAAAATACAGTCTCTAAATGCCGTTCAAAGACATTAAACCTTTACAAAGCTGCTCAGCCCTTCTTCAGATAAATTTTCTCCCTCAAAATTAAACAGTTAAATATTCGCAGCCTGTCCTACCTTGCTTTGTTTGCGATCGAGGTAGAACTGATGTTGCGCGACGGCCATTTGCCAGATACATTTTGTGAGTTGATGTGAAGAGGCGAACCAGGCATGAACGTTGACGTTACCAGGGCCGAATGTTCTCCGGCTCACAGACACCCTGAAGAAAGAGAATGGCTTATTATACACAGCAGAACCTTGCACAATTATCACATCATTACCCAGTCTTAACTGTGTAATGTGATCAGCAGTATCTCAAAATCAACTAAACGATGGAAAGCCATATTTACAGAAGAAACAATTTGACGATTGCAATTCTTCTTTTTTTTTGTACAAGAATGTTTTGTGGCATAAATGCACACATACTGATATATTTTAGTTGTGGAATATATACCTTTGCAACAAAAACAAAATTTAAGCGAAGTTACGATCTCTTTCAATGCATTAAGTGAATATATACAAAATGAAGAGTCATATCCCATTATTCAAAGCGATAACTATTCTACCACACAGGGGCAGATAGCTGTGCACAAACTGGCAAACACAATCAACACAAGAACACAACAAGCATACACAATCAAAACTATAACACAAAAAACATACACAATCAAAACTATAACACAAGAACGATATATCTCTCACTTTGATACACTTTAGAAATAATCTAAGATTAATGCTGCAGCTACAAGCACATATATGTATATGCTTTAAGCAATATAATCACAGTGAGATGATATCGGAATGTTGATGTTGGAATGGTACTTTATGGATGAAAATGATGCTAGATTCGGCTGTTGTGTTGACCGAAGTACGAGCCAAAGCACTAAATGTAGTCACAATGTATTCAATCAACCCTGATCATAAGTGAGAGGTTCAACTTATTCAAGCAGTGAGTTGGGTTTAACACAACTTTAAACAAAATATTCCAGGTATTTCATAGTGTCTCTGACTGATGTTGTAGGAAAGGTCAAAGTGATGGGAGTCTTCGATGTTTACCCCTTTGATAAAACCCATGAACATAATAATCATGCTAAACTGGGATTGGAACAAACAATCATTGGTGCCAAAGAGATGCTACTGCATAGTGAACTGTGAGTCTTAAATAATCTGTGCCCCATTATTGAGCATTATTCCATGGACACCAGGAACGGACATACATTGTACTATGCAGAGAAGAAATCCACTAAAATGCTTGTCCCCATGTCCCGAGTTCATTAGCACAACCGAAACTACCATTTCAATTCAAGGAACAATGTTAACTAAACTTTCAGAAGCATTAAACATAATATTCAACTTCACATTATTGAAGGGGCGATGGGGTAGCCTAGTGGTTAAAGCGGTCACTTGGCACACCAAAGACACGGGTTCGAGTCCTCACATGGGTACAATGTGTGAACCCATTTCTGGGGTCCCCTGCCGTGATATTGCTCTAAGTGGCGTAAAAACTAAAACTCACTCACACATTACTGAATTCGTTTTTCATTTAATAATGAAAATCAGCAATTACGCCTTACAAGAAGAGATAATGGCCAGAAACTAGTTCCCTAAGTGCATGATGTATACAAGCGACCAAGACTCCCTAGCCCTGTGAAGTTCCCAAAGCCAACCTGCTTCCATGTCACATACTTACTGAGTGCTCGGGTCGGAAATTGCATCCGAAAGGTCATCAAACTCTGTTAATGGTTCACGTATTGCGTCCTCATAAAGGTTGAAACTGCTCAATGTGTGGATGACACTAAATAGTTGGAACAAACATATCAGGTAAGCTGATGCACCAACATTCAAGATCTTCATTTTCCTAAAATTCGGGTAATCTTTTTTAATCTAAACAAACTGGATACCCCATCTCTAAAAACAACAACAAAACCCCAACCGTTTTTCCCAAAGTCTTTTTGGACTTCAACCCCCCCAAAAGTATGGAAGAAAAATCTAAAATAAATAACAAATATCCAAAAGTCAATGTACCACTTTCTAAATTTTCATAGTAATGGTCGTAATCTTTTTGGATTTGAGAGTAGTTCCTTTGAAGTAGTTTTCAAAGAATATAGAAAAGTTATACCTATTTCAACTTGAAAGAAGGTGCCTCTGAAATTCTATTTAGGTAAGAAAGGTGACGAGCAAGTACTTCCCACACCCTGGGTTAGTTATTGCCATGACAACACACATGGATCCTATACACCCATGCATTAACCCACTATTTCCAGGTCATTAACCCTTCAAGTCCCGGTTATGTCATCCAAATCCCAGGACTAGGAGTCTGAACTGGACTTGCTGTTTCTGTCAGTCATGCAAATGGGTTGCACCATACCTGTCCTACATGCACAGACATTACAATGACATGTTTTGAAATTATTCATCAATAAGTGTTGGATTTTGGGTGTTTATTTTACGAAGTCTTGTTAGTATGATGTAAAAGGTGCAAAGAGCCTATGAAAATGCTCAATCAATTATTTCATTCAATCAAGGTTCCTATGCGTTTGGAATGATTTGATGATGATGATGACGATGATGATGATGATGATGATGATGATAAGATGAGGATAGTTGAGCCAATAGGGTTAAAGGCGAATGAAAAAGGGTGATGATTCTACTTATAATAATTAGGATAAAATGGAAGTGAGAGCAATATTATACTAATGAAAGTATGGAAGGAAGATGTATGGACAGAGCATGCAGCCGTGCACACACAAAAGCAGAGCAGGCACTGCAGTCACAGATCTTCCAAACGAACAATTCAAATTCAAAATGCAATCCTGCACAACTTCAAAGAGTTATCTCCCTTTGGCCACCATGTTGGAGATCATAACACCCCTCAATGACAAGATTCACATAGAATACAGATCATGCAATATTGTCCTCCAGTGATCAGGTGCATTAGAATGTGTTATCAGTACAAATTGTGAGTAATTAAGGAAAAAATAATATTTTTTTCCTTCACCAATAAAACCCAAGGGAAGGGAGTGTTAGATGGGGAGGCAAACCAACCTCCTTGTAAACTGGTTAGAATGTCAACCCATATTCATGTGGTTTATATATATATTTTAATATTTTGTATCAATATGTTAAGTCTCGAGGCACCTTCATACAACTGAAGCGGGTGATATGAAGTGATATAACAATAAAGTGGTCTTTAGAAATTCTCAATTAAACAGTAATTATTGTACCCTCTTCTAATTTCTGAAAACATTTCTCTCCTTTTGTCAAATATCATCAATTCTTACAATTGTAAAGTATTCTCAACCCTCGCCCAATCAGAACAAATAAAACACTGAATTCATGCAAACACAGAGATTCAAAATTATAAGTGCATTGTCTAAAATTTACGGATGCAAGACAGCTATATCCTAAATCAAAACAAAATAGGTAACTTAACCATGCTAGTTGGTATCAGATACATCTGTGAAGTTACATGTGCAGATGTGACGTAACACATTTACGCAGGAATGGCATCTTCAACCCGACATCGACACTCACCGTTTGGGATCATGCACTTCTATTGAAAACTTTTTGTCTCTGTAGTACAGGTTCTCTAGCTGTTTCCACGTGAATAACTGGAACATAGAAATATTGTGTCATTTGTGAAATATATCCTCCACATCATGGTGAATATCTGGAATATATCGTAATTATTGTGTCATTTGTAAAATATATCCACCAGATTGTGTTGCAAATCTAGTATATATCATAAATATCATGCGTCATTTGCAAAATATATCCTGATCGTGTTGCATATCTGTGACAAATCATAATTATATTGTTCCATTTGTGAAATATATCCACCTGCTCGTCTTGCATATCTGTAATATATCACAATTATTATGTCATTTGTGAAATTTATACACCAGATGGAGTTAAAAATCTTGAACATATCAAAACTATGACAGGTCTTTTCTGAAATATTTCCATTAGATCCTTAAATATATATCCATATTTTAAATATGACATAAATATCATATGGAATATTTGAAATATATCCTTGTGTTGTGTACCAGGATATCATAAATATCTTGAAATATTCCCACAGATTGTGCTGCATCTGGAAAATATCACTAGTATCGTGTGACATTTCTTATATATATCCAACAGATAATGTCACATACTTTAGATACGCAACACGGATCATATAACAAAGCTCTGTTCTGGAACTGGCTAAATGAGAACAGTACTGGATGGTGGTTGCTCGTTGGCAGTTTTTCTGACATTCACAAGCGAGTTAACAACACTACGCACACTCATCTGTCAGCAAGGAAACTGGGCAACACTCCAAGGGAGATAACTCTCCTTTTTATGCACGTCATCTGTGGCTGACAGCAGCAAAACAATACAGCTGACAACCATGATGACAGCACCTGTCTATGAGTGCAAGATGCTTCCTGGGCAACAGTCCAGGGGAGATAACTCTCATTTCCAACATGTCACGAGTGCACATCACACACAAGACTGCCACTTCATGCTCTGAGCTCATATTACAGGAAGTATCCTCTTCACAAAGATCATTGCAGTCAACCTTCACTGCTTGTAAAACGTATGTTATCCATGTAGCATTAACCAGAATCAGAGTGCAAACTGCTGAACTTCCATTGCCTCCAGCTGAAAGTTTCCTAACTCAGACAGGTCCCCCTGACAAACTGACAAGTCCTACTATTGAAACCATTTTGAAGTGATTTGTTTCACTTGCAAACTCTCTATTAAAAGAAGCCCTACAAAACTGCATCCATCCATTCTAATCAACAAGACACCACACTTCCCATTTTTCCAAAGGCGACAGTGAGTGAGTTGGGTTTTATGCTGCTTTTAGCAATATTCCAGCAATATCACACATTGTACCCATGTGGAGAATCGAACCCGGGTTTTCGGTGTGACGAGTGAACACTTTTACCACTAGGCTACCCCACTGCCCCACATGACGCAAACACAAGACATGGATAAAGACGACGTTGATGGTGATGATGTTTGTCCGAAACTGAGCAAAACATCTTTGCAACGAGACCTGCCTCTCTATGACATCTCTATCCATGTTCAAAACATTCTTGCATCATCACACAGACTGTTATCAAATGAATGTTATTTTATGCCCCAGTAATCCAGCCATGTCACTGTTGCTTGTATGTATAAAATCCAGATCAGACAATCCGGATCTTTCTCAAGTTCTTTTGTAAACATTAGTGGACCTTACCTTTCTTGGCGTTGTCTTGTCGTTCTTATCAAACACTGAGATCCCCTTTGGGCTGATACCCAACCACCATGGAATGTCTTTCTTGTCCTGGGAACAAAGAGTACATAATATTAATAATCATAATAACATTATGTATATCAGTAACCACCAAATCTACATCCCAAAGAATGTTCATAGCGCTACAATCCTACCCCAGTCAATGGATCTGTGTGCACTCAATTTTCAATCTCAGCTACATGAGGAGAATACAACCCAAGACAATGTATATCGATATATACTACAGTAGATTTACCACTGAGGCCAGGAGAACACTGCACAAGATTCTGATGGACACAAACGATACACCATTATAAATTAAATATTTCTAAATAATGGCAGAGAAAGCAGTATCTGGGGCAGATTCATGGACTGCTTGCACTTGAAGGTATTCACTCAAACATCAGCACATGGAATGGTACATATAAGCAATTATCACTTTTTCAGCCACCTCCCTCGTTCCGACAACAACTCGTGTGTGAGCACAATCTCCAGCAGCAAGCAACTACTCAACACGTTGGTAGGCTCCAGACTTACTGTGCCTGATATTGTCCAATTTAATGTACACATGCATGCACCCCATGAATGCTTTATACAATCTAAAGATTGATCCATGATAAAATTCCTTACTCCAGTTGGAAGGGCAAATGGTGTAGCACAAAAGTGTGGATTTTGTTTTTGTTTGAAAGATTAACAATTAAAAGCTATAAAAGAACAAGTATGTATTCCACAATTATTGTTCATGTTATTGTGAATGAGAAACCTTTAAACGAATAATCAGAAACCTTCAATAGAATCTTTTCTTCCAATGCATACTTACTTTGACTTCGTAGTAGTGTATACCGTATGTAGGAAGTCGTTCAACTATATTCATATAACTGAAAGAGAAATGCATTTTCTTTAGTGGAGTAAACATAAAGGGTTTAAACGTATTACTAAAACTATCACCAAACAGGCAAATGGTAACAATTAATGCTGCCTTTCAGCCTATATTGAATGTTTATTATCTAATACATATATAGATGTCGTGTACTCACAATATTGCTGAGAGTGGCATTTTAACAACAACAACAACAACAACAACAACAGTAGGTCTATGTTAAAACCCCTGTATCCATTCCCATGGTTCTTGTAATCGGCATATCTATAAGTTGACTTTGTTCAAGTTCAACCATCTGAGTCCAATCCATATTCGGAATCCATGATAACCAACCAATCCCCAATAAGGTCCAGTTCTAAGAACTCATTGTGTAATTCACCAATTTTAAATACACATTATCCAACCTCTACAAGCTGTTATCCCATAGCTCGCACCAGAACAAGTCCTGAAGCCACCAATGATTCCTGTTATTTCATTTTCCAAGGAGACCATACACTGATATATGGACTCTATTTTGTGCTATTCCCAGTGAAGTGATCATTATACTCGAGACATATTAGCTTTCAGGCTGTGACAATGATCCTCTAATTCTGTGCCATTATCCCCTGTCTAAGCTGGACCTACATCGATCAAGGTGCTGAACTGCTTTAATTACACAGTCTCACACCTCTAGCGGTCAGGAATAGCCCCTCTCACAGCCCACCAGATGACGCCCGATTGGTTCGATTGGTTCTCACAATAGGTACATCTCAGAGGCTTATTGTAATCATTGACTGCTTGAATCACAATGGCCACATTGAGAAAGACGTGACTCTTGTTTGAAATCAAGCATGGAAGTCTTAGGGTGTTTAAACCCAAAGATTTAGGGTGAAATAATTCAGCACACCTCAAGGACTCGAGCTATGCACATGCACCCACCCTCTCCTCTTTCTACAAGTATGAGGGTCACTGGGGTAGCCTTGTGGTTAAAGTGTTCGCTTGTCACGCCAAAGACCCGGGTTCGATTCCCCACATGGGTACAATGTGTGAAGCCCATTTCTGGTGTCCCCCACCATGATATTGCTGGAATATTGCTAAAAGCGGCGTAAAACTAAACTCACTCACTCACTCTACCAGTATGATTTGTTACATCATAACTGAATATGTCCTTGTGAAGACATTTTGACATTGGTCACCACCAGTACCAACTGGAACTTGGAAGATCAATACTGGATTCTTCGTACAAAAGCACTGTATGACATGGGTCTGTAAGAAACCGAGTCGGGACCAGACAACCAGTGGTTGATATCGTAAGCATCGGGCATCACGTGGGACGAGATGACATGCATCAGTCCCATCTGCAAGCTGCACTACGCAATTCCATTAGTCACCTCTTACTTACAACAAGCCTTCCAGATTTCTGACATTGTCTATCAGCATTTCTCACCAAAGGTCATGAGAACCTGTACAAAACTATTTCCAAACTCCATCTCAGCTTCACTAAGTTACTTGTTGACGTAACATCACCTATGTTTTTCAGAAACTCTGATGTTTTACAATCATTCATGACCTCACAGCTATTACTGCATCTTGATCACAAAGTATCAAGGAAGTAGCCTTGCCCAAGGTCTGTCATCTGCATCACCTTGAAAGTTCACAAGCAGCCTCTTGAGACAGACCTAGTACTTGTGTTTAAGACATCCTTCCTGTAGCTAGGACATCAAACAGGAGGCAATAAGCTTCCCTTCTACTTGACGGAGTCGTCCCAAGTCTAATGGTTCAGACTGATTATCCCTGGGAGTTTATTCTGGCGGTACATTGCCCTCGGGTTCACTTTGGTTGGTTCGATGATTTCCGAAACAGTTCTCGTATATTATCCACAACATACATACTACTTGGCTCAAAACTTATTACACATCTTCCTTTAAATCTATATGGCAGGTGGGTTATTTGAATATGCAAAAGTAAAATTGAAAAATAAAATAAAAATATCAATAAACAAAGATTACTTATGATATTCCTTTAAAATTATTTAACCTTTGAAAGACAATTAAGTATCCTCTTCTATCTACCTGAGAAATGTTCAGGCTTGCTTGCATGCCATTGCATCCCAAGTTAGTAAAGTTATGTTCATGCTATCACTCACTAGATTGTCTGGGCAGACTCTATTATTTACAGACAGCTGTCATATAGCTGGAATATTGATGAGTGCACCATTAAACAAACGATACCAGAAAAGTGCTTCACACATTGTACCACTGTGGGGAATCGAACCCAGGTTTTTGGCTTGACAAGCAAATGCTTTAACAACAAGGCTATCCAACTGTTCTTCTGAAAAAAAGTCTTCTGGACAAGAAAACATGCATACTTTCATTTGTTGTTTAATACCACACTTAGCATTTTACAGCTATAGGCAGTCTGTAAATAACTGAATCTGGACCAGACAATCCAGTGATGAACATCATGAGCATCGATCTACGCAACTGAGATACGATGACATATGTCAACCAAGTCAGCGAGCCTGACCAACTGATCTAGTTACTCGCCTCATGTGACAAGCATGGGTTGCTACAGACCAATTCTAACCCGGACCGTAAGGGTACCATGCATCCTAAATCATGCACTGACTTCTGGCATTTAATCATTTATTGCACAGTCTAAGTTGAAGAACAAAAAGCAACTCACTTGACAATGGCAAGGCCTCTGGATGTCCCTTGTAGCTTCTGATAATAAGATAATATACGGTCCTCACTGCAACAAACAGAACAGCGATTTTATATTCACCACACAACCTACTGCCACGTTAAATATCACACATTCAAAACATGCAGGAGAAGAATGTCACTGTCATAAAATAGACCGAAGCTGCTCCACATTACCTCGTTAGGTAGTGTTGTGAATTGGATGAAATATCACAATTGATGATTGCTTCATTACCAACGAACAATCATCGAAACAAATTGGTTAGCGTCATTTTTCAGATTTTCCCATCCAGGTTGTTATTGCAGATATGTATAACATGGTGCAACTTGCTACTTTGAAGTGATGACTAATATTTCATGAACATTAACTTCCTGGAGTCTTAAAGAAATATTTAGTCATAATTTTTCGGTTAGTGAAGTGATTTTTCTAAGAATTAAACAAGTTTTCAGGCCCTGACAACTCCGAAGATATGTTACATCGTCAAGTGTTTCAAAGACTAAAACAGTAGTTCCAAAATCGTTTGTGTTCGATTGTTTGGTCGTTAGGTCACTGCTACCAATCTTCGATTTTTTCAATTAATCGGAACACCACTATCGTTAGGATGAGAAAGCCACAATAACTCAATGCGCCTTGTGGCAGCAAGAGTTGTATACTCCACAGGGAGTTGAGATTGATAATACGATGAGCCATTGAGATTGACATCCAATGATCGAGGGGAAAATTAACAGCACCTTGAGCATGCACTAGTGTGTGGATATGTGCGCTATATAAATATCCTAAAATAATAATAATTAGATAACTAAATGATCAGCACTCCCGCTATCAGAGCTGAACATTTCAAATTCATACAATTAGGCTTGTCAGCCTGTACAGAAGCCATCAAAAACTTCTTTAGACTGATGATTGATGACGGACAGACAGCAAATGAACTAAGATAGCTGATGACCAGCTGAGTTAAACACAAACCCAACAAAACAAATTGTGATTTTTAAAGATGCACAGCCACTGTTCTAACACAATAACACAACAGTCAGTTAAACTTTCTTCCTCTCAAGAAAGATCAGAAATAACAGGCCATGTACTAAGATATAAAATGCCATTAAAGTAAGTCTAACACAATAACACAACGATCAGGTCAACTCTCATCTGGTCAAGTAAGATCAGATTTTCCCCACTAAAACCCACTGGAAATAAGGCAAAAATCCATTTTCTCAAAAGATTTTGGCACAGGCAGCAACCGGATCAAAACTGAAGATCCTGAATTCCAAAACCTAGCAATCTGTCGCAGCTGAACTGACCTGACTGTCAGTAAACATACACCCAATGATGAGGCTAGGATCCACCAAGTGCCTGGCTATTACAGGAGGCATCAACAGTTAGGCCTGTACATCCTTCTCTCCCATCTTCCTACACACACACTGACCTACATGGCGGTGATTCATTAGGCAGTGGCAGCAACTGCTTCACATCATTGTGTGACTGGCAATAGGTGGGAGGTGTCCCCTCTGAGTCATTGTCACAAGCACAGGAAATACCTGGCACTAACCTATAGAAGCATCTCACAAACTTAAAGTGACTGTCAGATCTTGAAACAATTGTTTCCTGCTTAGAAGTATTGAAGAAAAACTACATGAACTAGATGAACTACATGAAGAAATATTTGATGACCTCATGTCAACTTAACCATTTCAATGTCAAATTGTAAACTAGAATGAATAAATTTGACTGAAAAATATTTTGAATGAAGACTTCAGGTGATTTGAGTTACCGGTAGTAGTTTTTTTTACCCTCTATTCCAGCTATATCACCTTCTGTTTACAGGATTCAAATATAGGTCTTTAGGGTTGACAAGTTAACCTGTGTTCACAAAGGTTTACCAGCTACCTAGTTCTATGGACCTATTTAACTGATCCATCACTCATCCCTATATTCAATTTTCCCAAAGCTCCCTGCCATCACTCACCCATAACGTCCTCTCTGACCCCCCAACGTCCTCTCTACCCCCCTTTAAACCTGCCAGCTGCACAGCCACTGACTCCCAAATCCCTACATCCAGGGCCCCACCCCTTTAAACCTGCCAGCATGCACAGCCACATTGTTACCCACAGTTCCTTCCCTCTTCCTCCCCTCCCTACATCCAGCACCCTTCCCTACAGCCTCTCTCCCAGCCTACCTCCACCCCAAAACATCCTCCAGCACCCTTCCCTACATCCACAGTGCCCCCAGCCTACCTCCACCCCAAACATTCTCCAGCACCCTTCCCTACATCCACAGTGCCCCCCAGCCTACCTCCACCCCAAACATTCTCCAGCACCCTTCCCTACATCCACAGTGCCCCCCAGCCTACCTCCACCCCAAAACATCCTCCAGCACCCTCCCTACCTCCACAGTGCCCCCCAGCCTACCTCCACCCAAAACATCCTCCATTCCTCCAGCACCCTCCCTACATCCACAGTGCCCCCCAGCCTACCTCCAATCCAAACATCCTCTGCAGCCCCTCTCTATGTTCATAGCATCATCCCTAACTTCATTCATTTCCTCACCTCCCCTCCCTCACCACACAACCCCACAGCTCTACTCCACACCCAGTGCCCCAGAACCCAGCTTCTTGTTGTACAAAGGTATCTACACCACATGGAGCATGTCAGTTGTAATACACTGAAGCCTCCTGACCAGGACAACTACAAGCTGACACCCATCAGACCTAAGCTGGAGGATCATATACTGTTTGGATGCGGAGAGATACCCTTCCCTGCTTCTAGGATGTCTGCTCATCAAGTGCTTCTCTCAGATGAGATTAACTACAAAAAGTGAACACACCCTAAACAATCATTATGAAATGACAGACTGAAAAGTTAGAATTACACTGGCTTCACATGTTTCCTCGAAACCTACAGCTAGCTGTTTGGGTCTTTTGAAGCAAGTCCCCCTATTTCATAACCAGATTTTTTCTTCTTAAATTTTCTAAACATTTGACAACCAAAATACATGCTAAAGATGAAATCATTGAAAACATTGTAGCTCTTCTTAAATTAATTAGAAGTGACTGTCGGGATGGGAGCTCAATGTTAAGCCTCATATATTGGTCATTCCTTCTCAGATATCACAGTGAGACAACAAAGACGCAAACCCCTACACAATGATAAACTGTTCTGTTGAAAAATGGCTACAACCATACCAACAATGGTTAATCATGTGAGACAGGACAGACCTAGCTGTCATCCCAACTTCAACCAAGTCATTATTTATTATGTACAAGTCAGCATGGTTGTAACGCAAACCTATTTAATTCAGTCCCCAGACAAAAAAGATGGCAGCCATGACTGCTGACCTCAACTAACCCAGTTACCAGTTTCTACTCTCTGACCCCGAAATGACCCCAAATATTGACTACTGACCCAGTTTTACATCTACCAAAGGTCCATGACATCTGAACACATTTCCCATATCACAAACTTCATGGCCCTATCTCAATCAGAAAAACATAAAACGTTGTTTTGATAAACTACAAATTGTACTGCCAAAGTTTAAACATATTCCATTACCCAACCATTACAGTTCCATTTCTGTCCAAAACCTTCATGCAGTATCTTTCTTATCTGGTTCTGTCAGTATGTGGTGAGATGAAGTCATTAAAACTGAACCCAACAGTTGTTCAGAAAGCAAAGCATGCAATCTTCTCCTGACACCGATGATCCTAATGTTTTACAAAGCATTCAAAAATTACTGCATCTCAAACATCTACAATTTCAAAACTTAATACTCCTGACAGAAATTAACTTTGAAAATTTCAGACAAATGATAACACCCAAGAAAAAAAAGTCTTAAACACATAAAACACGATCTTTAGAAAAACATTAACAGCAGACCAACTAGTCCCTACCTATTAAAACTATGACCAGAGAAGCAGCCATCAAGATGAAGTCTTTTTGTTCAATCAATCTGACACCAAATCATTCGGAATAGGAAAAGGAATTCACTTGTAACATTTTCAAGACAAAGGCAGTGTTTTACGATCTCGTCTGGAGGACCTGAATCTCAAAGTGACATTTTACTGCACACTGAAATGTGACTGGTTCCGGGATCTGTAATAAATCACAGTCCTGAAACATTAGAACGACAAAAACGGTCTCCGACAGACGACATACAGAACTAGGTTCAGTCCCCTTGAAGAATTCGCTTATACAGTTTCAGACGTGCAAATCTATATATCAGACATTTTGGAATGCTCAAGTATGCATAAATTCTCAAAGAAACATGCAAAAGGCCAAACACCAAATCTTCCTGACAAATTGCCACTAAATTCTGAAAGTACTGGCAAAGAGAAACCGACTATACCGATACCGCCTCAAGGCCATCAACCAGTTTAAGCTTATTTACATTCTTGCACTTCAATGTTGTACCCAAGCAAAATGTGAAAGCCAAGAAAAAGCATTTGAGATGTTCAACAGCAGGTTGAAACAACACAGAGAAGGAACCCACAACACGAAATTCTGTGTCAACTTGGATTGAAATAGAACGCAAACAACATCTCCCCCACAAAGCTGGAGTGTTACTTAATCCAATATCACTTCTTTCATCGAGGTTATTTTGAGCCAGGTATATAGATCTCGTTCCTCAAGCCATTACACAGCAACTTGCTGGGACTGATCCCCGAGGAAGACTTGATGATGTTTCCGGATAGAGACAACCACTTGCTGTGTGTTCTCTACAACTATAACATTGGTCCATTAACCTTCACTCAACCTCTAGTGCACTGATACTAGATAGTTCTCGGTCATACTTGGGTAACTGCAATTTTCATGTTGAGTCTGTTAACATTATCATAACCTTAACCGATTGCTGCTATCAATACACATATTTCAGCCAATCTAAATGTTCCTTTTAAATCATGATATTTATGTGCTATCAGCTCTAATATCAACACTGTATTACCATATATCATTGATGCAGATATTCCTAAAACTGGACCTGAAATGCTAAGTGTGACTGCTTTGCTGTCAGAATGACTTTTACCTTTCCTTGCTCCTATCTTAATAAGTATATAT